GACCCTCAGATTGTGAGTCGAGCGCCTTATCCACCTGGCCATGCCGGGCAAAAGCAAAATATACTGTTGTTTATGATCTTGAATAAGGTTATTCAAACATGAATAAAGCTCATGCTGAAGCTCATACATTGTTCCTTTTGCTAAACATTTGTGTGTACTCTGTCTGTTACTGCTCTTTTTCAAATATTTCTGGTTGTTTTTTGAGCTAAACTATCTAACTTTCTGACCAACTTTACTGTAAAAACGGAAATGAATCATCGTCAAAATAGACCAACTTTGACACACACTTAAAAAGTTGTATCAAAATCAGTTTCAGTTTTTGTTTTGATATTTGACTTTTTAGACGCAAGTTTGAACGATATAACAATAAAATGTGAATAATTAGTGAACGATTATCTCCACATTTTATTCACTTTGGTCAGGTTAAGTTTCAATTCTAAAAACGTACAATATACCACTCTCTACCTACACTCCCCGACACACACACACAGACACAAATACGCCCAAGTCTAATTATTTTGTATATCCATCTACTAGTGTGATTGAACATCAGCTTATTTATATACCATAATTTCTGTATGCTTGTTTAGACGGTATTCGTATTCATTGGTATTGATTCGTATTTTGGTAATATTCTCCTCTTAGACATTAAACCAGAAAGATGTGCTTAACTATGCATTCTCTCCTTCGACCGCCATGTCTAATTTGCCTGCAATCCTAGACGGATTACCCCTTACCTTCCTGCCGCGCGAGGTCATCGGCCGATACAAACCCGGGGCGTCAATCGATCCCACCAAGATCAGAATACTAAGAATTTTTGTACAACCCACATCAAAATCTGCCCTAAAATACCTTTGTAGCCCATGGTGATCTACCCCACCAGTTTCCTGCAGCATTCTCGAGAGCCAATGCTACCTATTTACCGTGTTTCTAAGAGGGGTCTATCCATCTGTAAACCATGAAGATATCAAAACGTCGATAAAACAGACATTAAATATAAAACTCCAGGCCACCGAATTAAGTCAAGAACTGCAGGGAAGCCATCTCATTTCATCAAGATAATTACAGCCTCGCAGCAAACCTCAAACCACATTTGGACTTACGGCTTATCCTACCATTTATTTCACTTTAGAGCAGAAAAAAACCACACCGTAAACCTTCCCGTTATTCACAGTTCCGATCGCTGAACAGCCACTTCCTGAAAAAAACCGCCTGTAGACTCATATGCACTTACCCCTCAATCGTTCACCAGTCGACTCAAACTCGGAGTCCAGCTACAATCATCGACCAGGACATTCAATCACCTTCGACTAATGCACGAGACGACTCTAACATGACAGATGCCATTACTGCAGCCACCTAGTCTGCCAAACTAAACCACACAAGAGAAAGAAAGTCATACAGACTCTGCTACCGATCGAAACCTCAAAAGACAATAACCAGTCGTCAAGCTTCTTCAAACAACATTGTCCTTCCAGCCCGAATACCCATCACCCAGCTCGTCAAACTCCCTTTTGATAGATACTTCCGCCGACTATCAATCATTGCCCAAGAACAATACAGACGAATCCTGTACCCAATTCTCTTTTTTCCGCTGCCCTTCGACCAGCAAAGACGAAGATTCATCTCACGACAGACTATCTCGAAAACAACCCACCGCCTTCAGTCGCTTGTTTAATAAGACAGATTTCCTACTACATCAGTCCCTCACCATGCAGTCTACTCCTTCCTCCTTTTTTATCTGTTGGTTTTAATATCAGTCACTCTTAATTGGGCTCTGGTCTGGTAACTATACGGCGCCAGCCAGTGAGAGTGGTTTTTCTCGGGGTTCTCCAGTTTTCCCCCCACATCTAAATCAAAACAACGGGTCTATACATCCCCCGCCACCCTGAAGGACCATAAGTCCGACATTGGCCGTTGGGGGATGCTTAAATATAAAATGTGACGTTCGAAGTTTTCCCGCCGATTTGTGCTTGCAGCCACTTCTTATCACTCTGTTCTTCAAAATTATCAGTATTGATCAATTTTTTCGTAGCTTTTTCAAATAATTCTTACCATGAGCGGAATGAAGAGAAATGTATTTCTGAGCAACCTCAGTTGCATTTGATTCTAAATTTTAGTTTAGGGTCCAACGTTTCAAGTCGAAATTACTATCACGATTTTTGGATTTGGCTTCCTTAAGCACAGTTTGTTTGCGCAGTTACTTCCTTTAGTTTGTAACGCCTAAGGCTTCTCAGTTATATAGTTTTGAAATCTGGCGAGCATGCACTGCTGACTAAATGATCTTAATGACACTAAGAAATCACATAGGCTAGAAGATAGATAACAATTTACAATAATTGATAGATATCTTATAATCCAAGCACCATTGGAAAGCATACTTTCTTTCCTTCTTTAGAAATGAATTGCAAATGAATCTCTTATACACAGTTACTTCAATGTATAGTAAATATATATGAAAGGGTTAACTATATTTAGTTATAAGATATTTTCCATTTGGAAAATGTCGTGGGTAAATAAAATTATCATATAGTGTTTACATTTTCTTAAAATGCCATGTGCCCTCTATCCCTGGAAAAGATTTACCTGGCAAAGAGAATCGATACATGAATGAAAATTTTTTGTTTTGTTTTATTGGAAATTATTTTTTATAAATTACGGTTATACGTTAGGCACTGGTAGTGTTCATAACAATTGATGTAGTAAAAATACTTTGGAATCAATTTTTTATGGATTTCTTGTCATGAAAGAAATTATTGGTTTTTTCTGCTTAAACTAAGGTAATCAGTTAACTCGTACCTAACCATGAGTCAAACACCCCCCATCATGGCGGAAAGTGATTCCGATAGAAGTCCAACAAACGAGGAAAAACAATTCAATTTTGGCCCGAGAGTAGTGTCCATCTATAAAACAGATACAGGATTTGGTTTTAATGTTCGAGGACAAGTTAGTGAGGGTGGTACTTTCAAAAGTATTAATGGTGAGCTGTACGCACCCCTTCAACATGTTAGTGCTGTATTAGAAGGGGGAGCAGCTGAAAAGGCTGGTATTCGAAAAGGGGATCGTATCCTGGAAGTGTGAGTAAATTTTTGTAAGCTGTTAGAATATCAGAAAAAGTAAGCACTTTATACAGAAAGTCATAGATGATCTTCATTGTTATTAGAAGCTACTACTAGTACTGTAATGAATAGGGGACTTTAAAAAGTGGGATTGATATAATTCACTTATTCAGTAATACTAGTACTTCTTCAACTTTTAAGTTGTTGAAGCAGTAAGTCTTGTACTTTGTTTTACTTCTATTCGTATTAGTACTCATGAGTTCTAACCATTGTTCTTAACGACTAGAATTTTAATACTGCTATTGCTAGTGTGTGTTTTTGAACAATATTCTATTCAAAATAATTGTCATTAGTGCTTTAATTTAAGTATTTATTACATCCTTAAAGTTTAAGTTAAACACAGAACATTTACTTTACTCTTTCTTATTACTTGCATATGAGATATCATACCCAATTTTAATTAATTTCTCCACCAATGTTATTACCAGTGTCATATGGTATTTCATTTAAACATTTCATGAAACTAAAAGAGCATAACATAAATTTTTTAATAGAATTACGAAATTGTGGAATGGTGAATTCTAATATTTTGTTAGGTTATGAAGTAGCCACAACATAATCTGTTAGATTAAGTGAGGTCTAACCATCATACAATGTACGTTGAGTGTAATATAGGAAAAGGCTATGTGACAAAAAAAAACATTTGGCCCAACAAACAAAAATTAGACAGCCTAAATATAGCCAGTTGCATTGATAAAATTTTCCAACAAAAATTGGAGTTCAAACTTTCTAGCGTAAACCAATAAACAAATTATTCTACAAGCTAACAACTAACAGGGAAAATATTTTGAATAATAACCAGCCTAGACACGAGTTTCCATGAATTATAATGATTTCCTCCAATATTTAGGATTTCTTAACTCCAACCTCTCATTTCTACTATTAACAAACCTCCCATGGACAGTTTATACAAGCTGTCCATGTATTCTGAAACAGGTCATCTGTAGGAAAAAACAAGCTCAACTCTTTGAGAATGTCTTCAGTTTGAATGTTTCATAGCATAACATAGAGGTAACAAGGCACTACTTGGGCCTTCAAGGCTCTCATTGCACACGCAAGCCTGAGAAAAAAGAAACATAAAAACAAAAACCTTAAAACCACCCTCTGTTTTTCAGAAATTCTTAAACTTCCACAACTACTGATGAAAATTCATTTCATTGCTAATCACTCTTGGGGGGAAAAAAATATAAAATTATCTTAACTGAACCCAAGTCTGTATTTCGAATCTTAGGAAACTGTCTTCTAGGTCTGTTGTCCTTAGGATACAGCTCAAAGTAATCATAGGCTTTTATGTTATCCAATTCTAGTTAGTAAACTTTAATTAAAGATCTTTTCTTTTTCTTTCCAGAAAATAATCTGAGATTTTAAATTATAATAAATAATAAAAAAAAAAAAAGTTTTGTATTTACACAATAAAAACTTTATTGAAGCTGTATGGCTTCCACTTGAAAATAGAAAATTCACTCTACATGTACATGTTTCAACGTGATCTACATCATCCTCAAGAATAACTTACACGACTATTTTATACTTTCACCTGGCCGCATTACTTCATTGTTATTTGCATATTTCCTTGGTATAATAAAGACAATAATAATTTGTAATATATCTTGCCGTATATATTTTTTTATTATATCACATCAAAATATGTACGTGTAGAGTGATATTTTTATATTAAAGTGGAAGCCACATGGCTTCAATAAACTTTTATTGTGTAAATACAAAACATTGTTTTTAATTATTTATTATAATTTAAAATGGTAGTGCATGTTTAGTAATCTAAGAGATCTTAATCCATCCACATAAGACAGCATTTCCATCCCCAGAATTATCTTAGTAGCTTTCATCTGAACCCTTTCTAATAAGTTAATATACTTTCTTAGATAAGACCAAAATTGTGCATAGTAGCCCAAGTAAGGCCTAACTGATGATTTTTTAAAATAACTTAGTTGTTTTGATGTATAATCTATATATATCTATAAAGATGCCCAAATACTCTGTTTAGTACTTGCAATAGATCACTGCCTTAACAAGGTTATCAACCATTATGCCAATATTCTTTTCTTCGGTTAAGTTGTCCAACTTACCAATTGATCCAAATCACAAAACTTTTTTATTAAATCTTTTGAATAACAAAAATACCATCATCATAACATTTAAGGACAACAAGGGACCTGTTTGTCCATCTAGGTTGTCTCATCCACTAAACATATATTGATACACACACAGTAATCTATAGAAATGAAAACAAATATAATTATAGTGTCACATGTACAGAATTCAGTATGAATAACAAGCTTAGAACAATTTAAAGTTGTATGAAGATTTGTGTTACTAAGAGAAAAAGAGAGAGAAGAAAATTGTTTAATTTGTAGTGTATTTTTTATTACAAGTTAAGTTTCTGACTTAGCTGTAATAATATTTGTAATGTTTTGATATACTTATTGAATGTTCTGTATGCTTATTATGCTGAAGTATTGCAGACTGAGAAGGATTATTGACATCTACCTGTTTTTTGTATCTTCTTATGTTTATGTGCTCGTACTTTAAGGTGGTGTAAAATCTTTGGATGAGTCAAAATAACTACCTTGGCAAAATTTCTGGTACATGTTATACAGCCTCTCATTATTAATAAATGTACAACACCTGACTCCTGTTACTTTGCTTGTGAAATTAGCCAACACCCTTTTCTTAACAATCACATAATGGTTAGTTATTATATTACTTCTTTGTTCAACAATATTTCCTTGATAAAACATTTGATATTTGTCTCTGTAAAAGTATTAGTAACACTAATTTAGTTAACAGATTGTCTAAAACTATCCTGAAACCCTTGTTGCAACTCTCAAAAAAAAAAAAAAAAAAAAAAACATTTCCTTTTAAACAATACTCTATATGAACAAATAGATGGTGTTCCTGCAGACTTCAAATCTGCCTACAACAGAAGGTATGTTGGAACACTTTTTATTATTATTATTCTCCATTAAGAACATACCCAGAAATTTTGGATTATCTTAAATCACAAAATTCTTCCATAAAATTCACCTACAAAACTGAAGTTAACCATACTCTACCTTTTAGTCTTAGATGTTTTGGTCATCCATGACTCCAATGGTTTTTATATTCCTTTCTTTTGGAAAAAAGACATTTACAGACCTTTTTACTCAGTTTGATAGCTTTATTTAATTTAGTTATAAATGTAACCTTCTGAAGTGTTTGTTTGTTACACTTACCTGATCCTTCACAGGGAGATTTCCTTCCTACAAAACATCCCAAGTTAGAATGGCTACCTTAAACATAATTGAAAAAATCACACACTTATTTTTTTACAAAAACTTGTGAACTGTCCTACACTGCTCATTGTACCTATGTACCTAATTTACACTTTATACCATATATAGAAAAACAGTGTATAATTATCATAAAACATCTTACAAGAATATTTCACCAGTACTATCCTCAAGTGGAACTGTAGGTTATCTTTAAACCTGCTCTTAGATTAAATAATGTTTTCCACTGTTAAGACCACCCTACAATTACCTATTGTTCATGATTCATTTGCTTGTATATGTGCAGAGACTGTAGAAGGTTCTATGTTGGTTATGCCAAGTACCATCTTAAGAGTATGAGCAGATGAATATATATCAGTCAGAAGAGTTTAGCTCTTGTATATATTACTGTAATTATATTTATTTTCATTTCTATATATTGCTGACAGTAGAATCCTTATAAGTTAAAAGTGTTTAATAATTATGTTGTGCCCTTGCATTTGCATTTTGTTTTGTAATAAAGCTACTTTTTTCAACTAATGAATTTGTTATTGATCCAGATCATTCTGTTGTTTCCTCAGCATCTTCAATGCAGCTAGAAATACCAGAGTTTGTCATCAACAAACTTGTTTAATTTTCAAATTCTGCTTCTATCAGTATTATTAATGTAAATAAGAAAAATCAATGGCTTAAACACTTATCCCTGTGATACATGAAACACACACACACCAGTAATAAAATACAATTTGACTGGTCTCCATTAATAACAGCTGTTTTATTTCTCTTAAACCAACCACCCTACAATTCATTTAAGTGGTTCTTTTCCAATTCCTACTGTTGTAATTTTAGTATCTGATATTTTCTGTGGAACCTCAACAGAAGTTTTTGAAAATCTAACAACATTGTATCCACACCCTTTCCTCCATCTAGATAATAAGTAACACCCTTGAAAGAAACAGAACGATAACCTTAGTAAGGCAAGATTTCCTTTTGACTTCATGTTAGCTTTCATATATGATATAATTCTCAAAATTATTGTATAAAACTACTTTTATCAGACTCTTGAATATTTCCTACTACAGAAGTTAGACTGACTGGCCTATATTTTCCAGAGTAACTGTTTTCACCCTCTAAAAATAGGAGTAACAACAGCAACTCACCAGTACTCATGTTCTTGCTCACAAATATTTAAGAGTTAGGCTAACATGCATGTATCTGAACCTTGACCTCCTTTAAAACCCTGGGAAATGCCTTGAAAGGTGCTTATTCTTTTTATTTTTCATTCTTTTTACTTACCACTATGGGATTAACATCTACATGATTCAGGTCAATTCTATTATCTCTTTATACAAGTCACTTTATAGGCCTCATCTAGAATAGTTTGTACAAAAGAGTTTATTCAAAAGAGTTCAGAGGAAGGTTATTAAAATAATTCTGGGATTTGAAGGTTATGAGGCTAAAGCAAGTTAATATCCCTTAACTTCTCTCTAAAAAATAAATGTAATGTCTAGTCTTTTAAAATTTACAAGATTATCTGAGGGATCAATAAGATAAAGGCTTCTGATTCTTTGCACTTTATCCTAAAGACAAGAGAATACAAGTTTAATATTTAGAAAAGATTGGATTGACTAATTAAAGCAGTTTTATTTTTATAATGCTAATTAACTTATGGAATGATTTGTTGGCTCAGTAGTGAAGATTGCCACCTTACAAGAGTTTAGGAGTGGGAAGTAATGATTTCTTGAAAAATAAAGGATGGATTTAATTTTTTTTTTTTTTTTGGGTGGGCATATTGAAACAGCTTTTTTCAATTTTTCTTCTTGTGGGTGAGCATACAGAAACAGCTTTGAAGGGCCAAATGGTCTCTTGTTTTTGTTGGTAGTAGATAGCATCTAATAAGAGATATTTTCCCCTATAAACATTATTAAATAGCTAGATGTATTATTATTATCATCTGTGGTAAAAGTACACACATGTGCAAAACAAAATATGTTAGCACTTGAGCGTTGCATTCTTCCTAAACATTAAGGTTGACATTAGTGGTATATTCAAAATTATATTGATTTTATAATCACTTTAAAATATACATGTAATTATGGAATAATACTTTAATTTTATGTACTAGATCCCATATATCTATTTATATTGTTGTATTAAGGTGGTGATGCCACTTAGGTTGAGATAAAATTACTTACTAACTACGAAATATTTTATGCACCCAGGTGGTTATAAGAAGCTTGATCACAATCTTAATTATCTAATAATTAGCCCATGATGTGTTACTTTTAATATTTGGGTATGTACAGTTCACTCTTCATGTACACATACCTCAACATTTGGGCACTGTTCCTGTACCTGTACTGTAACAGCCCAAATGTTCTGGGCTCCTCATCCTCTCTTACTCCCCTCCCTTCCCACAATTATGGATATTATTTTTACTAATTGCAAGATTCACCAAAATGCAGTATCAGCATATACATGCTACTTTTTTTTTGAGAGAGAGGGAAGACTTCGGTATCATATGTGTGGAAAATATTTGCTTGAGCCTGGGCCCCCCAAGTGCATGGACCCCAGTGATTTGCACCAGGTACACCCCCTCTTTCTGGGTACCTGCATGTACCTCAACGTTTGGGCATTTACTGTACATGATTTCTTTATATATATATATATAGAGAGAGAGAGAGAGAGAGAGAAAGAGTGTATATTTCCTTTTCTTTTAAATTATAGACTTGTCCATGGCATCAAGATAACAGTCAGATTTTACTGGTTTTTTACATTAGAATTCTGACTAACAACATTTTCACCTTTAACTCATCTTGAAAAAATATTGTACATTTTCAGTATATTTTTAACAATGGCTTTTATCAAATTGTAGCATGTATGTGTGGGGGTACCTATATCTCAGCCTATAAAATCATTTTAAATTAATTGTTGGCAGATTTCATTACTTTTAAAGATGATGTGGCAATCCTTCCAAGAATGTTGGCAAATTGCTATTTATTATTTTACTCCTTATTAAACCTTTATTGGGAAATGTAATTTATTAAGTAATGGTAAAAGATCCTGATAAACACTTCCACTGGGGTAAGTGTGTGAACTACTATTAAAGATATTGATATGGCATCTATTAGAAGTCTGTTTAGAGACCTTTTAATTACTATTCAGTTGTATTGCCAGTGATACATTTCAATACATGTATTAGATGAGTGTGCAGTACTGCACCATAAATATTTCTACAGTAATGTAATAACTTTTTCAATATAAATAATCACAGTAATTAGAGAACAATTTTTATTTTTAAGGTATTGTTGTCTACAAGCTTGATTGAAATGTCACTTGTGTGTAAAACAGTAACATACTTTTTTGTCTATCCATGGTATAAAATGTTTGTCTCAAGATAAGTTTATACAAGGTACTTTTATTTCAATTCGCTTACCAACTACATAACTTTGCATTTTAATAAAGAAGTGAATGAATGTATGTAATGGTACACTTTTATATAGGATACTTCAGTTCTGGTTGTCAAGTTAAGTTGTGTTGTCAGATACATTTTGTACATGATTTTTATATATGTAGATTACATATTTCCTTTTAAATTATAGACTTGTTCATGGCATAAAGATAACACACTGTTTTTACTGATTTTTATGTTAGAACTCTGGCTAACAACATTTTCACCTTTAACTCATCTTGAAAAAATATTGTATATTTCTGGTATATTTTATAACAATGGCTTTTACCAAAATGTAGCAAGCGTGTGTTTAGGTGACAAGTTTTACACATCTGTTGGAAAGAGAAGGTCACAAGTAGTTAGTAGAACTATAAAGAAAACCTATATTTTATGTAGCTTGAAGTTAAATGTTAAATCTTCAGACATAAATATGCTCTACTACTTTTTGTAGGAATGGTGTTAATGTAGAAGGTGCAACTCACAAGCAAGTAGTTGATCTCATCAAGTCAGGAGGAGAAAAGTTAACTTTGACTGTCATCTCTGTGACTCCACAAGTGAGTACAGAATTACTAACTTGCATATTTGTGACTCCATAGGTGAGTACACATTTTAATCAGTTAACATAATTGATAATTTTCATGCTTACAACTTTATGGTGAGTACACATGTTTACATCTATTATCAAACTTGTTAATTTGCATATATCCGACTTCACAGATGAGTACACACATTTTAATCATATGTTGACAGAATTTTTGATTGTCATTTCTGTGTCTGTTACATTTAACCTGGACTTGGATAATGGGCAGGTCAGTGGAGTTAGTATACTTAGGCTTTAAGACAGTTTAAGAAAGCTTTTGATAAGATATCTTAGGAAGATTGCATTTGTTGGTGCTAGAGACAAGCAGTTTGGATGTATTGAATGTTGGTTTTATTATAGAAGGCTGTTTACAAGTATATTAACTTCTGATGAAAGCAAGCTACCTACCTAGATCAGAACTAAACATATATACTTAGTAATAACCATAGCTAATTACTATATCACTTATAATATTAATGGAGTGTTTAAGTCCTGTGAACTAACCATTTAGTAACATGATAAGCCTTGGATAAGTGAAACTGCTATCCATAACATAGGATTGCAGTTTCTTCCTCTTCAAGCTATCATCTTCCACCTGTAGCCATTCTTCAGACTTCAGTGAGACTTTGACTGGGTATTTTTTATTGTGCTTTACTTTCTTTTCAGGGTCCCTTTTCCCTTTTTATTGTTACTCATTGTTTGGATCCCACTCTGTGGCAAATGGTGCCTGACCAAGTATTCTTTAACCGATCAAAATCACACTGTAAGTCCATGTCAGCTTACGTATTATAATTCCATGGCCACACAATGCACATTGCAGAGATGGGGTGTTCTACAAGATCACTTGTAGTTTTATCCTCGAGATGGAATTGCTTCATGAGTTTGCCTGTCCTGAACTGTGCTCATCCATGGACTGCATGGGTAAAGCAGAAGGGGATAACTGCCCATCCCTGCCATGCCTTGTATTGAATAAATTGATATGGTTTGCTTTTAAAGACAGGGTTTCATGGTCACCCATTGCACTTTCTCAGGTGTTGTCATTCCTCCAGACTCTCCACCACGCCCCCCCCCCTCCCTCTCTCTCTCTTTTCTTCTAGTGGAGTTTGAGAGCCCTTACCACTTTCCAGTTCCAAGCCACTGGGGTAATGGACCATAGAGGCAACCTCCTGAATGGGTTAATGATATACAAACAAAATATAGAAATGATTATAAAACCATTCAGTTGAGAGTAGTACAGTGGTGTTCTGCTGGTGTAGATGACATGATATCCTTCAATATGAAGTCACCAAAATTGCAGTTCACCCCTTTGATTGGGATCTCTCATCCTACCCTCACATGGATGTTGGTTTCCAGTGGCTGGACTCTGGATTTAGAGTTGAATCAATCAACATAAGTCCTGACACATGTATTACACATGGATGCCAGTACCTGGTGGTTGGGTTTTGGATTGTAGTTGATTTAATTTTGCCCATTTTTGTATTTTCTGGGATAGAGTTTCATAAATATTGTACGGTTCAAATCACTATCTGACTGTAATTCTCTCCCACTTGGATGTGTTTATCTGCCCATATGTGTGACATCTTTCTATGATGGGCAAAGAGTATACCTGATTCAGAAGTGGTGTGGTCTCCCACATCAGATCTTATAATCTGACTATCTCATCTTAGGGAGTATACTTTGGATACTTTTGAAGGATAGTTCTTTCTTTTCCTCTCACCAGTCCCTTCACTTATTCAATGTGGGATTCTAGCTATTTATGTGAGAGGATGTAATGTGCCATATCAAGAGTTTTAATTTTCCTATATTGAAAATGTATTTCAAATAGATACTTACCTCCTCTAACACTTCTCACCCTTCTTTCCCACTGAAAACCTATGCTTCCATCTTTTGCCGAAACTCGAAGTGATAGTTCAGTAGAACTGAATAGAGGGAGTTACATGGTGGAGGGTTGTCTCATAATGATTTGCATGGGAGATTCATTGTAATCAGTCAATCCCAGTTGAGGGGAGATAAAAGGCTTGTGGCATCTGTAAAAATTTGTTGGCATATAGAGGGCAGCACTGAATGAGAATAACTATTTATGTGCAAGCAGGTAAGTACCTATCTGAAATACATTTTCAGTATAGGAAAGTTATAGCTTCGCAGAGGTATGAAAATGTGATGCTTTATACAGAATTGTCATAATTTTATTTTTTTTCCTATTAGGTAAAATGTAACAATATTTTCCAGAGTGCTTGCAATCTCAGTTCAAACCTTACACAACTTTAGTGGGGTTGCTACCTATACTTTGGAAAATCATGATCTAAACTATGATGAGGTGAAAATTACAATATGCATAAGCAATAGAATACTGTTTTTCTTATTTCAAGACATATATGAGTTTTAATTTTAAGATTTTACCTCATTTACTAATTAGTGAAATCAATCAATTTTGATCTTATTGTTCTTGAATTGGATCTAGAATTTATTTATTTATATTTATTTTTTCTAATTAACTTGCAAAGTCTAAACTTCCAAACAAGCTAATACTCTTTTCTTCCTCACAGTGTTGGTACATTGACAAAACATTTTATATTGGATCACAACCACTTGTAAAACACAAAATATCATGAAGTAAAATTAATATTAGGGTGCTTCATAAATAGATGATGATCTAAGAAAAAATGTTTAAAATAATAATATCAGAAAAATCTTTAAAAGAAAATCCTAACTGAATGAAAAAAAACAACTGTGACACTAGTATAGTTAAACTAACATTATGTACCTATTAACCCTTTGTGAGTGGTTTCATCCATTGGAATAACCCATGGTACTGTGAAGCTATACATAGAAATACTCTGAATTTACTACACGTATCTTACAAAACTGTAATCTTTTAGTAAACATTAAATGTCCTTTGTGCACAAAAAATCAAATTTTTAATAAAGTATTTCAGTTAAAGACTTGTCTGTGAATTTCTAAAGCCTTTACTACAGTCAGTCTGTGTGAACCTTCATTGAAAGGCTGTTTTGTGCTAAGAATTAAAATACCACTTTTCATCCTAAAGTTTCATATTTCATTTGCATATCTTTTAGAACTTCCTAAATAAATGTCAAATGCTTGTTTTTAGTTAAATTTTATATTCTATTTTCTCTTCTCCAACATAAACACATACTTGACTCTATAATCTGTAAAGATCATCAATGTACACAATGTGGTCACAAGTAAATAGACACCACCTTTTTAGAAAAAATGAAATTTTTCAGTCATATTCACATTAATTGATATATTTATAATTTGATTAATATCTAGTAGATCTTCCTTTCGCTTCGTGGAGTTCGTTGATCCTTTGGGGCATCATGAGAATCATCTCGTTGATTTTAGATTGTGGGATTTTCGCCCACTCTTGCTTCAAAACTTGGAGTAGATCGCTCTTCGAAGTTGGTTTTGTTGGTTGTTTCTTGACTTGCCGGTCGAGTATGGCCCAGAGGTTTTCGATGGGGTTCATGTCAGGAGATTGGCTCGGCCAGGGCAACTTCTGGATACCATTTTCTTCCTGCCACTTTTGGGTGTTTCTAGCAGTGTGACACGGTGCTCCATCTTCCTGGAACAACTTTGTGTTCTTGTCCACGAAACCTGATTAATAAAGTGGCAAGAGTCCTTCCTCAAATATTTCAACGTATTTCGCAAAATTTATGTTGCCAACGCACTCCACTAAGCTCTTACTAAGAGTTTTGGCTCAACAGATTGCAGCCAACTGTGAAGCATGGTGGTTTCAGCGTGATGGTTTGGGGAGCTGTTTGGGTTGGTGGGAGATTGGGCATTCTCCAGACCCATATCCTTCCACTGTCCGAAAATTGAGCGAATCTTGATTCGTCTGAGACCAATACGGTTATTCTAAAGTACAGAGGCTTGGTCATCATATCACTTGCCCACTTCTTTCGTCTGACTACGTTGGCAGGTCTTAATAAAGGCTTCCGTCTAGCTGCTCTGCAACGATAACCCAATGTGTGTAGAATCCGTTGAACAGATTTCGGGCTCATCCCACCAACTTTGCCCACTTCTGCAATCGTTAATATGGGATCCATTTCAATGCTCCTCTTGACAGCCCTTTTTGTCCTCTCCGATAGACCAGGAC